ACGATCCTGATCGCGAAGAGGATAACGCAAAATATCCACGCCGTAGCCGATCGGATGTATCAATGTCAAACGCTAATAACACCTCGACTGCTCGTTCGCGGGCGTCCCGAACTGTATATAACAACGGCTGACAGCTAATTTCGAACAATGATATAATTACATATTATTTGCTATATTATCTCGAGTGCGCGAGGGAAGAAATGCGGTACGCAGAAATTAGAAGATTACGCGTTGCGCGGCGACCGGTTAGACACGACCGTTGATAGGAAAAAGTAATCCTCGAGATGCTGGAAAAACACGAATTAATTAACGGAGCGAAACTTTTTCGTCGTAACGCGCACGAAGAAGTTGTCGGCGATCGCGCGACCGCGCAAGAAATCCACGTATATAGTTGCCGTCCTTGATTAAAAATTAAACTTAGCTTAATCAACAAAAAGAGATGGCCTGACAGTCCTTAGTCGGCACTTTGTGAAGAAATGCCAATCAAAATTAGACGCTTAAATAGCCAAGGAAGAAATCAAAAAAATGAAAACAATCGAAACGTCGTACACTTTTTTCCTCTCTTTCATCATCGGCAGAGGTCATAGACCGGATGGATTCGTATTATTTGCATGCTGTTATGCTTGGACTGGAAACATATGCACGGGAATGCATCTCCTCTTTTGTCGATTTGATACGAAATCGGTCGGCTCGCGGAAGAGAGAGAGAGAGAGAGAGGAAGAGAGATGGAATCGAATGATTCATTCCACGAGATTACATATAGAAATCTGGGCGTGCCGACCTAGAGCCGGTTCTCTTCTCGGTTCGGCTTCTTAAGATCGCAGGATGCCGTGTTAATGAAACGGCGATTTCGGCTGATCCTAAAACGATGCGGACTCAAATTGCAACAATCGAATCCATATATCGTTGCGCGAGCTTAATAACCCGACGAACTCATTCATTTAAAGCACATATCGTTATTATTATCTATATTTAACAAATATTGACACACAATCAGCTGTTTTTTTTATTCAGAAAATTATCAATTTTTGATGACAGAGCTTTAAGCAAAAATATATACATATCGCGCAAGGTAATAAACGGATCATCCTAAGTTCGTGCGTTTCCTCTTTCTTTCTCTCTCTCTCTCTCTCTCAGCTACGAAGACTATCAAAAATCTATAGGAGCAATCTAATTCCGCCGCTGATTCTCGCATAATTTGTTCGATCAATATCTCGCGATCACGCGGTATTTATCCCGTAAGCCTACATTCGTGCGCGAAAGGGAAAAGCGCGTAAACGATCGCACGTAAAGTCGAAGTAAGGAGGCATCCGCGAAGAGACGTATACGTATAGGATTGAGAGAGAAAGAGTGATAGAGAGAGAGCGAAAAGGAGAAAACTAGAGACCAGGTCTGTGGAGGAAAAAGGAGCGGAATATGAAGGGAGGAGAGGTGGCATGCGTGCATCACGCGAGCGGACCGCACGCGTGTAAAGATGGCTCCTCGCCCGACAAAACCGGCAAACACCGCCCGAGTTGGCTGACTGGGCTGACGACTCGAGACTCCGCAGTCTGGGCACCCTTCAAGGATATATCACAGGGGCTATCAGGCGTCCATGTACGTAAGATCGACTCGACATCGACTCGCGCGGGAATCATTACTATAGGAGCAGCTACTCGAGAGCCCCGATTTTGATTGACGCGCGACGTTGCGCCAAACTCGAACAGCACGCGAGCCAAACAGACGGCCTCGCTCGAAAGAAGCTGCCACTGCTTCCTCGATCGGCACTGATTTCGGCCCTAGCAAAGTCTCGAACAATCGCGATTTTACCGCCGCGTTCCACGCCATATGGTGGCGCCAAAACGTCCTCGAACCGCGCCTCTAGACCTACCGATTGTACTCAAATTATCCTCTTCGCTATATACGATCATAAGCAACTAGAGAAAAAAATCCTATCAATTACGTTGATGCTAATCGCGAACGTTTGCGCAATCGATCCGGATAAGCATATGCGGTATATATACGGAGCCGAGTTCTAACAACGACTTGATTCCTCTTATAAACGGCCAAGTTCTAACTGCCACCTAGCTTCTCGGGGGTAGTCTCGTGCGTCGTTTAATTACCGTGTGTAACGAGTTGGAGTGGCTAGCGTGCACACGAAAGCCCTCTCTCGCGAAAGGGGTGCGATATGCTCGCTGACGTCGTCCACGAATCACTCGAAATTACCGAGTATCGTTGTGACAGGCCGCCTCGCGAGAGGCGGAAAGGACGCCTTTCGTGCAGTTTGCACACGACGCGGTCGCGCCGGACGAAAACTTGAAATTCGTTCGGACTGCGGCATTCCAACGTGAGAGAGACCGTAATATTGCAGCGAGCGACGCATAATTATGGCAATTACATAGTGCAAATGCAGCGACTTTCCGGCGGAATTAAGAAGCTCTCGATCGCGTATATATTTTTCGTAATTTTGTGAGAAAACATAAATCGCCGAATAAATTGTTACCCCTCGCTCTCTCTATAATTGTTTCATATCTATTAGTTAATCGCAACATAATAACTTTCGATGGTCGAGCAACGCGAAACCCGCCTATCGAAATGTTTCGAAATATGTTTCCCGTATCATTTCCGGCCAATCAATCATTTCGCAAATTATATGTGTGACGCACGGACAGTCGCTCTATGTTGATCAAACTAGATACAATGCCCGTACATACACAACACATTTCAGTATTCGATTGTTCAATGTAATCTGAACGAGACACAAGCGGTTTCGTAATCTTTTCGTAAATGAAAACATGAGTATCGTGAAGATAATAACCCATCCCGGGTAAACAAACGCGGAGACGTATAAAAAAAAAGAAGTGGAAAAGAAACTAATCGTCTAATGCAAATCTCCACTATCGGATATGAGCGATTACGATAATAAGATGGCGATATATAGTCGAGACAAAGAGAGAGAGAATGGGAGAGGGAGAGGATTTATATTGACCTTCGGATCAATTCCGTTAAATCCGCGGTCGCATAAAATTGTTGCCGTAAAGGATTTACGGACCCGAGCGCGCCGGTAGCACGACACGTCCACGACGAGGCTCGCTCTATCGAGGCACAGCTTACTCGACGTGAACACGCGATTGCATGTACAAACGCGGGATTCTTAAACGCGTCTCCCGAGAGAGATGGTTAAGAGCCCGCGGTGCCCATGCTGAATGTTTTCCGTTAATGCGGGACACGATAGTACGAGGAATCCATAAGACAGTATCGATTAAAGGAAGCACTTTATTGCGATCTACTACATATTTCGTAATAAAGCTTTCTTTCGAAGCCGCGCGGTCTATCTTGTTCGTTTACGATGAAACACGATCGTCCTAATTGATAAAAAAGCAGACAATTTTTCATAAGATTTTCCAATTTGTTCAATTAATCAATCCATCTATAAATCTACCTCGAAATTATTTGTGAATTTAATGAACAGTGTATCGTGCAAAAAATCGACTCCATCCATAATCTGGGGGTAACAGCAAAAATACAGAAGGATTAAGGACCCTTGTTTCGCTCTCGATGAGTTGTAGCGCGTTTTAGTCACCGGGCGAAAGCGAAAGATGCGCTCTTGGGGATAGTTCTTTACGAGGGCGGCGGGCGTCGTCGCAACAAGGGTGAATCAAGGGGAAAGAACGAAACGGGACTCGTGGGTCCCGCCGCCGCAGTCAGCTGTTTTAATGTGGGTCACTGGTTCGCGCAGAAACAATCGATTTTGGTTCCTGTGTGACGCGACGTGTGCGTAGGCCGTTGTTAAAAGTGTGTAACGCAACCCCGAGCTCTCGTTGACGAGAAAAATGCTCCGATCGAATCTTCAAAACAATCTTGTGGCACGCTTGTCGGAAATGCGAATTGACTCGAGAGATTTTATACGCTTTCATTCTTTCTCGATCTATGATAAAATCTACAAGAATTGTATATACGATGTATGGAAAAAAATGATTATAATTTATAATGCATTTTTTTATCATTTATAAAGACTTTCTACAATCGTTGTGATTATCAATAATTATTTATAGATACTCAAGTACAAACATTAGTAATTCAATATTATTTATAGTTGTGCGGCAAAAAAATAATACACAATTTATAAACGGTTTTGAAATAGCGCGTATCATTTATAAGTTCTGTGAAAGGATCGTTTGTCTTCCAAATAATATGAGAAAATGACGAGGGAAATTAACTTTCGCGGTTCGATCGAATCTTACCGTATCCTCCGACGCATCATGATTGGCAAGAATTAACACGGCGCGGCAGAAAATATATATAAAATATCGATGCAACAGTCGCGTATTTAACGCTTTAAATTGGGAGCCTTTCTTTGGGTTCCATCGAATATACCTATACGGCCGCACGATAGAGAAACGCATCGGGGAACGCCGAAAGGGAAACGCGGAACGGGAGCCTGGCGCCATTGCGATACAATACGGGGCCTCGATGACTTGCATTTGTATCTCGCCATCAAGAGGCCTCGTGATTATAGCCATGGGCCCGCTCGCATCCTGCTCTCTCTCTCCTTCCCGGCTCTCCTCTCCTCATTCTGGGCGTATCGTACACGGGTTCCCATCGTCCTCGAGAAAGGATCTCGTCTTACCGCATGCAGACGGCCGGCAGACGATATAGATCGCGATAATAATATTGTGACTTTATCATTGCACGCGCAGCCAACACACGTTCCCTCATCCCCTATTCTTCCTAGATGCAGATCACAACGTTCTCCTTAATTACTCCGCGTAATTAAATCGCGCAGCAGCTTGATAACTGTCGGACTTCGTCTCGCGATCGAATGGTGAAAAAGAGCGACAATTGAATTTTCGACTATTTAAATCGACTATACAAATAAAACGCGATCAAGTTCACAGCGCGTTACGATAATTCGAAATCATTCATAATCGCAGATATATTTTAGTGTAATATATTGTAATTTTCTTACATTTTTTCGGCAAAGAGAACAAAATTGCTAACCTTAAGTTTTGCGAACGTAGGGAAAGAAATAAGAGAGAAAAGTAGCGAATTCTCTCACACGGCTACAACAGTCGGCCATCTTTGGGTAACGTTATAGAGAAGCAGCGTGTAGCAGCAGCGTCAAAAAGAGGGAGAAGTACGGAGAAACAACGGGAGAAAGAACGGTGGGTGGATGGGTAGGTCGATTTTAATCCTTCTTGTTTGTCTTTGCATTAATTATCCAGAATTAAGAACGCTGCTCGACCGCGGCGCGGCGCGCGCGCGCGCGCAGCCGGATTACTGGCTTTATTATTACTTGTTGCAGATTATTAATTACCGAGAATTATGAGCGAAGCGCGGGAATAGGCTGTGGGTGGCGATGGCGATGGCGAACGGCGTCGTAGGCGGAGGGCGGCGGACGGAAGGCTGGGAAGAAAGGCGCAGGCACCCCTCTCAGATTTGTGTTTTCAATTAATTTCCGTAAATTAAGAACGATTGTGTAAGAAGAGATTAGTGACCGCTGGCCGTGCTTTCGAAAGCTGTAAAGATAAATGGAGAAGGCCGCTCCGAGTGCTCCGGTTTCTCGAGTGTGGCGCGAAGTAATTAAACAACTCGATAAACTACCGCGAATATAAGCTACAGCTGCTACAGAGACCGAGGAATAAATAAATAAATAAATAAGCGATAGTTCCCGGATGCTGGCGAATATATGGTACATATATTATTAAATGGCTCTGGCACGAGCACCGAAATGGCTAATAACTGATCAGTGTACCGATGCGTTATGATGCACTCGTGAGTTTTCCAATCGAGGCGGAATAATTTCCACTTTTTTTTTATCAATAAAAAGCCAACGTGCGGCTGTGTTTTTATCGCCTTATACTATATATTATAAAGTTCAAGGCTCTATATCCGCTTCGCGGTTTTCATCGATTGCAGTTGCCTGTGAATTATTCTCACGGCAACTAGTACACGGGAAACGCGCGGACTTCGTTTTCGATTATGGTATTAATCGACAAGCAGATTTAATGGAGAGACACGCACATACACATACATATATATACGTCGTGGGGGAGTCTACGGGCGTGTGTATATATATATGGAAGAGCACGTGTATATCTATGTATATGTATATATATATATATGTATCTCGATGAAAAGTAATGCTAACAATGGGGTCATGCGAGCCTTTATAATATCACGCTGGCGGCCCAATTCCCCGTGCAGGAACGGGAAAAAAAGGCCGAGAGGCCTGCCAGCTGCTGTAAACGATACAATTACCAGATAGATACGAGCTCGTGTGTACGGAGAGAAAGAGAGAGGGAGAGAGAAAAGAGGAGAAACCGATCATCCTCTCCACTCGGCGTTGCTGGCTGCAGCAAAAGAATCGAGAACGATCCCTTTTCGAGACGTCCGTCCGTCGAATAATATCGCGATGCTTTCCGTGGAGCCACGGAGAGGAGAGAAAGAGAGAGCACAGTCGCGTTCATACGAGGACTTTACCGAGCCCTATTTGTGTATTCGTGCAGTTAACACGAGCGCATAGATATTAAAAGCTTACGTAGCCTATAACCACGCATCGGCGCACGGCAACAACCAGGAGCTGGGAGGAGCGAGCAGAGGAAATAAATATTAATAACGGCTTTCTGCTGCTCTCTCTCTCTCTCTCACTCTCTTTCTGTTCTATGCTCTTGCTCTCCCCCTTTTCACCCCCTCTCTTCTCCGGTTCTATTCTCTGTGTACCACCCCTTCTTTCCTCTTTCCTCCCTGTGTCTCTCGCTCTCTCACAATATGTCTGTGCATTGTTAGAGCCATTACGGGAGCCAATTAATCTATGCACAATTTTATAATTAAACGGCTAATAGCGCATAGAATTATAGTCCAGGGCCGCGCGCACTCCCACGTAGTTTCTGGCTGACTGTTGTTGTTATGCTCCAGGTACATATACTAGACGCTGCGTTCTCGAGGAAGAATAGAGAAAAAAAATCACGTTGTACCTTTCCTCGCGTTCCCCTCTGTGCTTTTTCCTTCATTTCCTTCTTTGTCTTCCCGGCGCGACCTCTTTTCGCGGATTCCCAATTAGAGGCTCGACTCCGAATAGGTAGTTTGCGCGCGATCGTTCGTCCGTCCGACCGAGTTAGGCGAATTAATTGATATAATTGACTCGTCTCGTTAGCTATGCGCAACGCGGCCGCATTATTATTTCCTCGCCGATTATCGTAGGGCCCTAATAATATATATATATATATATATATATATATTTATATATGACGCGACTAATTAATAATGCAATCGATTACTCTTTTCGGCCTACAACAAGAATACCTGTTGGCGTTTTCGATCGAGGTATAGCGTCTTGGAGGAAAATCGAAAAGCAGCGTGATATCTCGCAATGAGAAATAAACGCGGCATTTAAAATACACCGAGCGGCAGTAACGATTCACGCATTGTGCGCTCGTTAGGTACCATACGCGTGTCCCGTGCACGCGCACGCGGTTCCGCATTGCGAGTCCGGCACGCGGCTCTCCGCATTCGCTGTCGTTTGCGTACACACATATGCTGTCCGCTTTTTAACGTTTATTATTTACTCGGGAACCTAGTACGAAAAATACGGCCGCAATTCGGTCCAGTATCTCCGGACGCAGCAGCCGGCGCCGCGCAAGTAAACCGCAAGAAAAATCCCCCTGAATTATCGGTGCGGTTCTGGGCACATGCTGTTGTATCGGTCCGGCAGAAGCGTAGAACGGGGTCGATGTGCACTCGTATACACATGTATAGGGATGCATGCGAGAGAGCGTATGCTTTTGTTATGTATAGGTGTGTGTTTGACTCGTCGTAGATGTGGCTCGCCTGTGTGTATCCGTTGCTGCCGCTACCGTTGCTGTGCATTATCAGAATGTAACGACGTCAGCAGTACACGCGATCGGACCGCACAGGAAGGCCGTGTCGCAGCCTCTTGATCATCCTATTTTTCAAGCGACCGCGCCGTCTCGCTTTTTTCCCCCGATCGATATCCGCGCGATCCTCCGCGATCCGAATAAACGGGGAGGTGCAAAGGGTTTGGATAAAAAAAAAAAAAAACGATCTTGCGTCTTTCATTTTCGAAATCGAATATCGCGAATGTTATAATTGTCATTGATAATTAAGTAATCGTCACTTGCTTTCGACGTTAATCACAACAATTATATAAATATAGAAAGAATTTTCATAGTTTCGTGAAATAAACAGGAATTCGAGATCGTTCTTTCTAAATTGAAACAAATTTTATAATGTTTATTATATGAGAAACAGAGAGGAGAGAGATGTCTTGTAATGAAAAAGACAGCAAAATAAAATGATATTCAACTTACAAGAGAGGATACGATGTCGAGGAAATTGGTCGCTAATCGAGCTACAACTAACCCGACGATTCCGCATAAATCGCGAGAAAGAGTAAACTGTATAAAATACGTAAAAACGAGCTCTCGGGAAAGGGCGAGACCCGCACGAGCCGACGGCTCGCGAAGTTCTGTTCTGTGACTGCTACTCCGGATTATTCGAATCCCTGCGATCCCTACGAGCTTCCTCCTTCCTTCCTCTCGCCCTCGCTCTCTCCTTCTGGCTATCTCCGGCTCTTTCACTCTGTCCCTCGGGATATCCCTCGATTCCCTCTCGCTCTGTCCCTCTCTCCGTGTCGCGTTGAATCCGTTTCCGTTGTGACTGCCGCTGCGCGTCGCTCGCCGAACAAATATTGCCCATTTGCCGTTCAGATTCGCGATCTGCCGCGTATCTCCGTTTGTTCCGCAACGATTAAACGACACGAATAAAATCGACCGATTATATCGAAAGCGTATCGATGGAGATTGCGCCGAATCTATCGGTTGATACGAAACATCGATGAACGGGACGATCCGGATTTGACAAATGATCTCGTGCGAGAGGACAACACTTTAGCCGACGACCTTAAATCCCCTCGTTCCGTTTACCATTCCGTTTCGTCTGTCGTCTACCTCGTGGGTGGGGAAGAGAGAGAAAGAGAAAGAGAGAGAGAGAGAGCTTGTACAACACCAGGCTCTCCTCCTCTCGCCCGGCATCCTCTCTTTCTCTCCCTCGCCGGGGACGATTCATTCAGAGAAACTGCCGTGAAAGGGACACCTGTTGGCGCGGGAACTTGGTGACAATCCTAGAAACGAGAAGCACGTGCCGATGCCGTGACTCGGATATCTTAATTCTTTCTCTATTCTCTCTTTGCCATCGGGATGCACGCGATTGCTCTCTTATACTTGGAATGAAAATTATTTTACAAGTGGACGCGATACGTCTCTCATTTTTGGCATAATTCTCGCGTATGTAAATAAAGGCCATTGAATGCCGAAACGGCATTCCTTTCAAAACGCAAAATGCAATCTCGCGAAGCAATTTCGATGCATGAGGATCGCTCGTGAATCGCCTATACGGAAAAAGCCCGAGGGTCACCGGGAGCCGTTCTCGATGATGATCAAGTCTTAAGGAGCGGTAGGTGGTGCACAATTAAAGTATTTTTTGGCCGACTGGTAGCGGGCGCGAAAGCCGAGGTACCTCGCCGAGGTACAGGCGAAGATAAAGTGCTGCCCAGCGGCGACAACGCGCGTTATTAATGTATGCGAGGATCGTAGCTTCCGTTTGCAGCGGCGAAGAAGCAAAAGCGTCAAAGTGTGTGCGCGCAGATGTACGCAAGTTGTGCATCTCTTCCCTGTTATGAAAATTGACTCGCGTTAACAGATAACTAGTCGATAAATATCCACTGTGCGTCACTAATCTGAATTTTCAGATTCGTTTTGCAGAAACGTCCGGAACATAGCGATGCAATGGCATGATCGCCACGAGGCAGAATGGAGAATGTCAAAACTGGTTTCATCAAAATTACCAGTCACGATTCCGAGCTCTGGTCTCTTCTGCTCGCTCCGCACACTCGCTCGATAATTTTGTTATTACCAAACTCAGAGGAAACGTACATTTTTCTCGACCAACGAATGCCTATTCACCGGGAATCGCAATCGACAACCTAATCGAGGGAGAAAACTATACGAGAGAAGAACCGTCGTCGCGTCATTTCTCAAGAGCGTCGTCACCTACCTGGCCGTGGTGCAGTCCCTGTAAAGAACGTCGAAGTCCTTGCAGCTGAGCAGCTTGCACCGATTGACGCCGGGTTGGATGGCTCCGAGGCCGCGTAAGATTCTAACTTGCTCGACATTACACACCAACGGCACGATATCCAGCCGCTTGAGCTTGGTGTAGACTGTGTGAAGGCCGCCCACGAGATGTTTGAGAAACAGCTCGAAGGCCTGCGGCAGGCAGAGCATCGTGTCGCCGGCGATAATGAACGCCGCAACTTTCTGACCGCGATAATCTACCAATTTGCACTCGTTGGCGGTAGGATCGCTCGTACTGATCGGCGGAGGACTGTTGTAGGATCTCGGCGGTAGGACAGCGTGATGAGCAGCCATCAGCTCCAACGGTGAACCATGATGACCGCTCAGCATCCCACCGAGCTGGCCCAATAGTCCCAGTCCCGGTGGCGGTAATCCTGGCATACGAGGAACCATTCCGGGCGGTGCCCCGGGTCCACCCCCGGCTGACAAGGGCGGTGGACTCAGAGGAAGACCTTGAGGTGGCGAACCTCTCGTGGGCGATCCCGGTGTCGGCACTCCGCGATGTTGTTGCTGATGATCGCGGATCTGATCGCGCCCGTGCGACTGATGGGACGGCGGCGGTTGATGCTGACTGCCGTGGAGTTGCTGTTGCTGACTCTGCTGCGTCGACGGGCTGTGCGGATGTTTCGGGCTGCCGGTTACGGGACTGGCACGGCTGCTGTGATCGGAAGAGCTGTCCATCGCTCCGTGGTCCATGGAGGGTCGGAAACGCGCGTTCCTATTCTTCGTAGAAACGACGAGACACTCTGCCACGTCCTTGTCGCCAGCGATACGGTCCGTGTCTCTGACGTTCAATGTCGTCACTGTGTTCGCTCGCTGGCGAATATCGCGGTGCGACTCGAACGTAGGAACGTGGATCGTTTCAATGCATGTTAAAGCATGTTTCTTCCAATCCTCTTTGTGAGCTTTCTTCGACGATGATTAACGTGTACTGCAACTGATTTCCTATTTTAAAACTCCGCCAAACTAGTAACTTCGAACGTGTAGCTTATCACTGCAAGAAAGTGTTGCGCGTCTTGATACGAGTCAAACCTCACGATTTCTTCAGTCCTAACACGCACGTGAACCTCTGTGTCCATAACAAATTTTTAGTCCACCACGCGGATATTTGATTTTCACCGATCCATCGCAAAAATGTTTAACTCGACAGCTTACTCGTAGCAATAACGATGACGATTACGTGGATGACAATGACGACGACGACGATGACGACGACGATGACAGTTGTTGCGAACGACAACAGTCTTCGGCACTGAGTTTATCAGCGAGACATAGCAACTTGTTCACTAGCTCACGATAATGATGTCTTCATATCACAACAAACGGAAAACGGCTACACCACGACGATTGAACCGGGATACGCGTAAATACGAGGAGAACCGTAACGTGTACACGAGATATGACTGTGACAATGTCAATGATGGGATGACAGCGAGGATGACGACGGCGACGGCGACGGCGACGGCGACGACAACGACGACGACGACGGCGACGACGACGACGGCGGTGGTGGCGGCGGCGACGATGACGACGGAGGCGGCTGCCGCGGTAACTCGCAGGGACGCGCGTCGCTCGTTCTCAAAGTAGCAAACGCTCTCTCGGTCGAGTCGGGAGTATTTCCCTACCCAGTCACAGATGTAATAAATAAAAACATCAGTGGGAGCCCGACAAACGGGGAGGATGGGCGTTCTGTGCGCACAACCGACTATCCGGTTGGCGGAGCCACCAGGGCGGCTGTTCTCGCTATTGGACGGCAGGCTAACACTGTCTACGCCTTTCGAACCTTCCCTCCGGGTGGCGGCAGTTTGGCCAACCGCCCCCCGCATCCCCCACTATTTGCCAACCTCTGCCACCGACGTGGTAGACGACGACGACGACGACGACTACGCCGACGAGGACGGTTCCGGGGGCTACCAACACAGAGGGACAACCAGACGCAGACGCGCGGAGAGCCTGAGGACAGTACGACTGAAACGTACCAACGATGATGCGAGTGGGGGATTTCTTCTTTTACTCTTGCCGGGTTTGTCTTCTTTCGCGTTGCGGGTCTTACGTTCTCCTTCCTGCCTCGGCGTGCGGGTTCCTCTTCACCCCACTCTCTGCACTTTTATATCTTTCACTCTTGTCTCTTACTCACGTGCTGTTCTTCTCTCGGGCGCCTTACCCAGTCTCTTCACTCGACTCTTATTTCTCTTCTTCCTTTGACTGTCTGCATCGTTTCCATCCTAGTGTTTCGTTCGTGACTCTTCCGCTTCATTATATCTGATAGTCTAGGTCCTCATGTTTAAATCTTTATGATTATTCTTTATTTCTTCTTTATTTTTAAATATTATCCTCGATTTTTCGAAATCCGCTCCGATATTTTTCTCATTTTTTCTTACCTTTTTGATTATTCTTGCTTCTTCACCCTTCTCTCGCCACCCTCCACATTTTCCAGATTCGCACTCTCTCGCGCGACCAGCCGTCTCTGCCTTCTGTGTATATGTTTTCTTCTTCGCTCGCTCCCGTCTGCCCTACTCTCGCTTCATCTCTCTCCTTCATCATCTCCCTCTGCGTTAGGCGCGCACACATGTACTACCCTCGTCTCTATCTCTCTCTCCCTCTTTCTCCCACTGTTCCCTGTCCCTACGACGAAGAATGTCGCCAACGTTCGAATCGATCGCTCGCTTTCGCGCGCGCTGCCTCCCTTCTTCACCCTTCTGCCATCCGCGAACCTACTCTCCCCCTCCCTCCCTCTATCTCCCCCTCCCCCTCCGCGCATCTCTCTCTCTCTCTCTTTCCTCTACTACCTCGTTCACCTCCTTCTCCACTACCCTCTCCTACTCTTTTCTCAGATCTCCTCTACCATATTCGCCATCAGCATTACACGCGCGCACTTATTTCTTCTGTAGGTAACTCCGCTTTCCTTGCGATCTCTCTCCTGCTCCGCCACCCCCTTACGCCTTCACCCACCCTTAGTCCACCTACCCTCTCTCCGCGCTGTGCGCACCTCTGCGTTTCCTCCGCCTCTCCATCCCCACCAGTCCAACACACAGGATAGTCTACACTCTCCGACACGGTTAGGGTATGGGTGCTTAATATCTTTGTGCCATACCCAAGGCGCCCGTATCCGCCGACAGTTCCTGGAGGTGAATTTTGCCGCGATCGAGTACCTCGATTCGCGGGACAGAGATGAAAATCATAAGTGCGAAGCGAGTACGAGTAATTTTACACACGAGTAGATGTAACAAACAAAATGCTTTATCTTTTTAAAAATAGAATGTAAATATATCGCTGATTAAAAAAGAGGAGCTCGAATGGAGAAGCAGCCGCATTCGTTATCGCATGTTAAATAACTTTAATGTTTTATTATAAATTAAATCAGAAGAGCATCAATTTTTTCTTTCGAATTTTAATTATCACGAACGCTTCCCGATTCCGCTCGAGCGGAAAAATTTATTTGGCAGGGATGATTCGGCGGAGACGGTCGCCGATTATCTCGTCATAGACGCTTCGTGCTGATAGCAACAGGAAGGGAAAGAAGTCTAGCGTTCTCTCCTCTCTTTTGGCCAATCAACCCCTCATCGTCCCTTGTCGGCCCGGTGACCCAGATTCGCTAGGGAGACCCTTCGCGATACAAGTATCGTCGTATGTGTTTATATCGATACATATTCGCGACCGCACACATGCAGACATAAATACACGCATATGCAGACATACAGGCATACGCATACTCTCTCATGTGTACAGATTCTACGATCCGTAAATACATTTACTCAAAACAGCTGATCCCTATACCTCGTAGATTTCGAAACGAAGCAAAACCCCCTGGGCTTATCTTTCATTGAGCAGCATAAGCGAAAAGCTCGATCTATTCCTGCACTTGTAAATCTAACTTGCGTGCGAGTCGACGTAAATTTTACATTCTTAATCCTACATCATCCTGTACGTTAATTGATATTTTGCATTTTCTACGTGATTCATAATTAATTATTCCGCGCTGTAATATTCGAGCACAGACGCGCTTGATATCTCGTAAATGTATCTAAGGTACATATGTATATTACGATCAATATTTTATTATAATTATTGCGCACATGTAATAGATATGCTGCTAATTGTGTACCAGTAACCTAAAAAAAAAAAAGTTTGCAGCAGACGAGTTTATTATAAAGCGATATTATTTTAATATCAAAACACGGCTAAACAAATATAACAAATCGCGATACCAGATAAACGCCTATCGACAAATATCAACTTTTATTCAAACAACAACGTTTCCAGAAAAGCATAAGAATCATCTGTGAAGCTGGCGTCTCGTGGAAACTATCAGGATGTCGAAAACTGCTCTAAAAAAATCAGAACTCTCAAAAATCGATTTTCATCTCAATATCTATAGGTATATAGGTATCTTTTATTTTAGTTAATTTAATAGGTTGTTTTTATTTTAGTTTATTTAATATTTTTTTAATTTTAGAAAACAGAACTCTATTTAGAACTCATGTAAAACTATAAATTTTTTAAATTCTAATAATTACTGATAAGGAAAATGCTGTAGGATAAAAACATTTTTGTTGTTTTAACAGCTAGAACTATTTAATATTATATTTAACTATCAAGAACTCTGGAACTATTCAAAATAAAGCTACAATTCTTAATTATTTATTATTTATCAGTTTCCATGAAATAAGACACCAGCTTCATACAGAAATGTTATAAAATAAACAATTTCTCACTCACGATCGGCGCAATAGCGGAGTTCTAGTATCACAGCACGTTGATCTGGAAACAAAATATTCAAATTATGTATATTTATACATATGTGTATGTGTATATATATATATATTTTTTTTTTATTTTGCATACCTCACAGCTGCCCTGCTGTCGCCCGATACCTCCCCGGGCCTCCTCCTCTCTTGGTCCTTCGTATAGCACTCACGACACTCGCGAAAACACGAATAATTACGATCGCCCGACACTTTACACGGCACTCCCGACGCGTGGAACTTTACACGGCACTCCCGACGCGACGCGTGGTTTGCGCGCGTATTTCGAGTACTTTGTACAATGAGAAAATTATAATCGAAAACACGAAACAACGATTCGTTCGATACAAGTATTGCTGATAAGCTGCGCGCGAGTTTGACTGCTACAACCTGTGTTAACAAATAAAATACATACACAAATTAGACTAATCTTATATTAATATTGGATAATTCACGGAGAGAATTTTCTCGTAGAATTTACCTTGAAAATTATGGTATTTGTTGGACAATATCGTGTTGAAAGAATTTTATAAGAGTTTCTCTAATTAATACTTACCAAAATAAAAAATATTAATATATATATGTACATAGTAAAATTAATCAAATATATTTTATATTTTATTGTGATAGATATTAATATTTTTTTTTATTGTGGTAAGTATTAATCAGAGAAACTCTTATACAATTCTTTCAACACCATATTGTTCCACGATTATAATGATTTTCAGGATAAATTCTAAGAGAGAAAATTCTCTCTGTATAGATATAGATATCTGGTTGTTCTTATTTTAGCTTAATTAATATTTTTTTGTTTTGTCTTGCGAGAAGACAATCGATCATGAGATCGATGTGCGTGGTCCGGGCAAGTCGGAGGGGGGCAAGGAAAGGGGGAAAGGGCAACCGGTAGGGGACCGATGTTTGCCGCGACCTAAACCACGTCCAATTAGTGGAATTAATACCGGCTAGGCTTTGGGGGAGCTAATGCCTCTGTGTGTGCATACCTACGGGTATGCGCGCCGATGACTGCACTTTCCTTCGTACGTAATGAAGGACAGTCCCGTCGTCGATGCATTCGCTCGTGGAAACGCGATCACCACCACCGGTCTCCTCTTGTCCTCTGCGGTCACCGATGAAATTCCGTAACTACAGATTGTACGACG